GTCGTCTCTAGCCGCGTGCGACGTCGCACGCGGCTAGAGACGAGCTGCGCTTGAATTTCATTCATGGGACGACTCTCAGGCAAGATACCACGGCTAGCTTGAATGCTAACACGTTCTATCATGTATCATGCAGAACCTCTTCATTTACTGCAAGCTGGGACGCGTTCAATTCAAGCAGTTAAGTTCATATTCAATATAATAATATAATCAAAACCCAATAGAAACTGGTCTAGTGTAGACTAATAACTCGGCCTCAGTGGTTTATATTGGATCAGATTGAATCAGTATATAGTTAGAATCGTAGTAATAAATTTGCTAATATACTATCTCAATAGACATTTTAGTTAGAAAATTTTTCATAAATAAGCATAGAATGTAGATATTTTCATAAAACTATAATATTTATACAAACGTATTTTTAACGCACATTTTATGTATTAGAAAAGTGAAACATTGGTAGTAATCAACTTTTTACAACAGAATTTCCCTCCTTCCCTTACTGAAGAGCACAGAGGAGGGAGAATGACCTCGTTCAGTTTCCGTCTAAGGGCACGTGCGAAACGGAAACTGAGCTACTTACTTCTTTGAATTTATCCCCCTAAAGCGAGTATGGAACGAATGATTTCCTATTAGCCTAAAATGCTAGTAGGGCGCTGTATAGTGGGGAAATGGCGAAAGAACGGAGTGAAACGGTCAAAATCCTGCGAAGAAAAAGCCTCCGTTCTCAGTGACTTGTAGTAAATCGATTTCGGGACGATTTCTCCTGTACGGCATCTCGCCATATCAACCGTCAAGATAGGTCTGCAATAGTGTTACTCATGTGGCATGCAGCATCACGCGGCTTCTTATACAATCCCTTTGCTTCATAATTTGCTCAGCAAATGAATGAATACGAGCGTCAGAAACGGTCGTCCGTTTGTGGGCGGGCGGGCAAGGAAGGCGTTTGGGACGTAAAGTTGTTGCTCAATAGGGCGTTATAGGGGTACCCTCCTTGGAAAAGGCTTCACGCAGCGCCTGTCCGAGGTCACGGAATTCTGTTAAGCCAGTTGTACAAATCTTACAGCGATTTATCGTGCCAACTGCCTTTAATAAATTCATTCAAATAATAAAATAATCAGCCTTCAGAGTAACTTTAATTTCGGACTCTGAAATAAAATGCAATGAATTCTTTAAAATCACATGTTCATTTTATTTTATTTTGACTTAGAATAAGAAGCTATCTGTTTTCTTGCTTCTGTCAGATCTTCAAGAGCCTGATCTGACTCAACTGGGTAAAACACCACAACAACAAAAAGAATGACACAATCGGCTGGTGAGCAATTAACGGGAGGCGGTCGATTGGCGCGATTTCTTCGTTGTTGACGAGCCTTGACGTGTTAAGGTCTGCGAAGTGAACGGTAACCCGCTCAAACGAGGCAGGATAGCTCGTCCTGGTAACTCCTCCTTTTCCAGACCCCAACTGAAGACTTTACACCGTCAAGCTATTGGGAAATGGGTGATATCACAGTCATCTCGGAGTTGTGATATCTTCTGTTTCACAGTAGCATGCAGTAAATCGTGAATGCTCCCAAAGTGGTAGGTTCTCCATCTGTTTTGTTCATCAAACGACAAATGAATGTTTATTGTCACTCCATTTATAACTGACATTTTTATAACTTTATCACTGCGACATTTTGAACACTGAATCATTTTATTATGATTATCTGGATCAGGCAGATTATGACAGATGGGATGTTTTTGTTTAACGACGGATTTGTGAATACCTTCTATCAGCAACTTATTTGTGAGGTATATGAGTATCAGATTTTTCTTCCCAGACACGTATCTTGACATGTATCTGCAGTAGTTTTTGATGTCGCTTCTCGTAACTCCTCGAAGACGATAAAGTTCGTCAAATCTGAATAAAAAAAAAGCTCCATCAACTAGTTAGGCCTCACTTAAGCTTCTATATTACCTGCTCATGCTTTTTTCAATAATTTCTATCCTTTCACGGTCGCGCTTTCGCAGGTGCTTGTGTTCTTCGGAATTCTAGAAGATAATTTACCGGCCTAAAAACTTGGTGTCCTCTCCTCTCACGCTTACCTCTCGAAAAAACCGGAGTGAGCACTTCACCTCAGAATCTATATACTTCAATTTTTCAATAAGCGTCTTGAGGTCGGGGTGGTCTCTACCAAACGTAACATTCAAACGGCTAGAAAAAAAGGTGTTATACAACTTGCAACAGCTTGAAGGTGACAAGTACTCACTTGTGGAAGGATTCGGCCACGTTTGTTGTTTGTAGATCCACCTTTTTCCATTTGTTCCAAAGGTCCTTGTAAGGGCCATTCAACCTTTTTGCGTGAAAAACATTCGGTTACGTTTGTTGTTTATAGATCTACCTTTTTCCATTTGTTCCAAAGGTCCTTGTAAGGGCCATTCAACCAGTTTGCGTGAAAATACGCCAAAAATTCTTTGCACTTCTCGTAGGCCACATGGTTTTGTGGGACAGGCGGCCTCCATAATGCTGGTACCTACAAAGCTTGCCTGCATTTCCTGTAATGCACTAGTATCACATCTTACCTGTGGGTAAAGGCGTTTCGGAAGAAAAATTACACCTTTAATTGTGTCCCACCAATTAGAAAAGACTGCTGTTCTGCAGCGTCCTTGGACAAACTTTCTAAGCTTGCACGTGTCTTTTCGCCTGAGATAGAGTATAGAATTTATTAAAACATACAATTTACTAGAAGATTTTGCGAAAAAACTAACCTGTTCCAGGCCTGTGCCAAATGGAAGGCACAGCCTTCAATTTCAGAATAAGGAAAAAGGCGCCGGACAGCAGCAATGGAAAGCTTTTTCATAATCGAGTACAATCCTAAGGGTTGAATGGACCGCGGCCGATGAATTTTGAATAAATTCTTCAGATGCCCAAAAATCTTCAAATAAGTGTCCTCTGTTTTGCGCGCGGTCATCGAATACAGAAGTGGGATTTCTATTCCTCCATCGCAAATTCCATGCACACAGTAGAGTTGAGCAAGTTCCTTGTGTTGCTTAGTGTGAACTCCATCGGCCACTATAGCGTAGAGGCCACTCTTACATGCAATCTGTAAAAAACCGTTTTCTGACAACCTAAGACACTTTTGTTAGAATATGTACAATTTATCTCGATCGTTTCCCCTGAGTAGTAAATGTGCAATTCTGCATCTTGCTTTTGCACGAAAAGCCTACCATCGCTGAGCCTCGCCAGATTTTCTGGTATATTCTGTAGGGTCACTTCCCTGTCCTTCCATGAGTTGATCGCCCTGAAAATCCAATATTAATGAAAAAAAACTGCCGTCTTAGTCGTTGTCATAACAATTTTACCGAGAGATAGCCCGCCTTTTCATACCGAAACCCCAACCATACAGTGCTTTCATGACCTCATCTGCAACGTAAAACTGTTCTACTGCAGTATTCGCGACAAAGTAATTTTTAAGCTTACCATCGTATTCCTCATTTGCTTTTTCCAGCATCTCATAAACTTGCCGTGGAGTTCGACCAACATAGATCTGATCGGACTGCTTGTACTTTCTGCAATACAGGAAGAGGCAACATGAAAATGAACGACACACCTATACTACACATATATACAATGCATAAAATTATTGTATTAGTTTATTTCCCAACCTCGTATGCAATTCTCCTGGCCTTGTCTCCCGCTGCTTAAACTGAGCTACACACATGTCCTATTGCGGATGGGTCGCTAAGAAAGTAGTCGCCACGAGCCTTAACAGAGAGATTGTTAGGTGAAAAAGATCAGAGAAAGATTGGCTTGAAAGATTTGAAAAGTAGTGAATCTAACCTTGATTGTTCTCCATGAGTTCATCGCCTTACACTGCAGGCACTGGTATACATCAGAGCATCGGTTCCTGCGTGCCAAGGAAAACATGTAGGATGCTCCGGAATCTGGAATCCTGTAAGCCAATACTTCCCTTCTGCCAATCTTACTCACCTCCCTTTTTGCAGCGAACGACATGGTTATATGAGAGTCTACGAGGAATGGGATTTGGGACGAGACGTCAAACATCGATTTGAAAACGCACTCAGACACTATTAACATATTAACGCCAACAATGCAGAAATCGCGCCAATCGACATACACCCGCAATTAACAACTACATCCTTAAAGCCTTTTCGGACAACTACGTACAGAAGAACTCTCTTACAAGCCTTGTAAGGAGTGACGTTCTCTCAGAAAGGATCATGACCAAAGCACAATAACCACAATCGATCGAAACCAAGATCAAACGCAATAGACCAAGTACAGAAATTACTAGCATAGCGATGATCCATAGGCCATTCGCTGTGTCTGAAGCTAAAGCGAAAACACCTGATTTCCAAACGAACCACAAAATTCCTACAAAGAAGACACTGAAAACCGGCTGCAAAAACACCACAGAGTTGACAACAACTATGCCATCCAAAATTATGATCACAAGAAGTTTGCTAAGCAGGGATTCAAATCACTCAAGTAAGAATAGCAAAGCTGACTCAAGTTTGACAAGCCATCTTTCCACAGCTTCCCAAATCGAGTGAGGAGCTGAACTCATTGAGGAGAAAAGAGACCATCTCTGGACCGGGCAGGAGCCAAAATGTATGTCGAAATAAGAACGAGATGAAACAATATGATGTGCACGATCCACCAGAACGCATTGATGTTTTTCACAAACTTGTACTGGCAACTGATGGACGAAGATAAGAACACGGGTTCCCTTCCCTGCCAACTCCTGACAACCCTCAAAAGACGGCCAGATGTTTTCTGAAAACCACATGAACTCTCCAGTGCTCTTTCTTCATTCGACGAAAAGACGCATTGACAACTCGACTTCCAACCTGCAAATTGACATGATCTCCTGTAAA